AATTAAGTCGCATAAGATTCAAGCGACAGCGCTCTGGAGTAAGCAGATCGTGGACGGTTATGTGGAACATCCTTCCTCAATAAGACCCTTTCCCTATTTTCTTCTTCAATACGCCCCCTAAAAAGCCCTCGAGTATGGAGGAGACTATCAAAAATAGCAAAACTATTAATGCAGGTCAATAAGGAACAGAAAAATGGCCACATCACCTACTAGGGGGGGGGGGGGTAAGACAGACAGACAAAAATAATTTGGAATTTATTCAATTACTTCTAAAAACTCGATGTGATTATTCCATGACGTCACTTACATAGTGTATAAACGTTTCAATAATCTTGCACTGATCACTCATATGTGTCACCATTGTCGCCATGTTGTCATCTGACGGCCGTACTATCGATGGACCGAACATTAGCGCCAAATTTCGGGTCTCCATCTGAAAAGTTGATTATAATCAATAATTGATCAACGATATCGAGCAATGACCCGATCTTAGTCTTGCTTCTTTCAGTACGAAATCCAAACAAAAACAAAAGTCGAAGAAAGGGATTTTAGGGGAGATAGATAGATTAGCTCCACGGAGATGCCACAAGATCGGAGATGACCGCTAAAAAAAAGGGGGGGGGGAAGGACATATAACAAACATGAAACGGGAGAAATCGCGAAGAGTCAACAACCGGAAAATTTCCTTGCGAATCGGAAAAAATTTTGTAGAGATTAGCCTAGACTCTTACAACTTACAAATAGCCCCGCCCCCACCTCACCAACGATTGAGTGCGATCTAACTGTTGGGATTCCCTGAATGATGGTGCACAACGGTTGCGGGGATATTTCGAGCAGGAAATCGATCGGGAATAGGAAAGCAGGGCATATACGTTTTTTACGTTGCCTTATTAACACAGAAAGGGCCAGGGTTGCGCATCCCCCCCACCACGCTTGCCACGCCAAATCACCACTGTGGCGTAATTGTACAATCTTCTTTCATAGTCGGGTTCGTCGTCAACTCGTCTAGTATAATACTAGCAGGGCAAACATGGTGGAGGAGGGGGGGGGGGAGATGTGCGGCTTTAGGTAACTTTCGTGAAAACTCACCTTATTCACTTCACTATTCTTCGTAATTTCAGCCAGATGATAGATCAGATACCGTAACGTAGCGTAATGATGTCGCGGTAGTTTTCGTAACTGAAAATACTTGCCATGAATCGATCGGATTCGCACGCGTGGGAAATCAATAAAATGGATCTTTCTCACTAAATTCCTCAGTTTATGCAGGCGATTATGGTGGTTCGCTATCCGATTCGCATCAATGAAGAATGGATAGAGTTTGTCGGTAAGGAGGGGTTCTGGTAACTTTCGTAGGAACATCTTCAGGAAACTCGACACCACGTTCACGTCGCGCCATCGTGGATCGCTCAGGTCCAGCTGAAAACATGTGCTTTGAATGACGGGGTTGTTCAACCATATTTTTGACAAAAATCAATATGAAACGATTAAAGTACTTCTTCGTTTCATAGCAAATTGTGTCCGGGATCTCAGCGAGGTGGGGTGGGGGCATACTTGCTCGCTGGAGGGAGAGGGGTCGTGTGTGGGTTGAGTAAAATACTTACTTGTAGACTTTCCCCAGTTTACCCCGTCACGCGTGCACTAGACACCCAGCCCTCCCTGCGCCCGCTCGCCGTCAAGGAAAGAAATTCGGGAAAATCGGTAGGAAGGGGTGGGGGAGGGGAATTCAAGGGAGAACGTGGATGAGGAAAGGGGGGGGGGGGGTGCAAGAGGAAGAAATTGAGTGCGAGGGTCGTCATCCGCAATATCCGCAACCCCAACCCCGCTCGGCGCCCGGCGGCAGTGGGAGGGGGTGAAGTTGACCATTTCCAAAGAAAAATCGGAAAAATTGCTAGGAACGTCCGGAGAAGATGATTGCTAGGATGTGGATGAAGGAGTGCGTGCGTATAGGAGAAAAAATCCGAGGAGGAAGAGTCGGGCTCAGTTCTTCGACGGGAGGGGGGGCATTTTGCCTTTCGCTGTTCCGCTAGTTGCGGTCTACAAGTCTCACTCAGATGAAGTTCGTGAAATCTTGCGAAGCTGGAGCAAGCTCCAATGGAAAAACCATGGAAAAACCTTTCAACTAATGTAAGCTCGGGATATAGCTGTCTAGATGGCTCTACGTTGCTGGGAAGGAGCAGAAGTGCTAAATGTCCCCTCGTCGCCGAACTGCGCCGAGGAGTCGTCTTGTACGAAATTTTTTCCCCAATGACAGGACGTACCGTATGGCCCTTCTTTTCCAAGAGTTTGATTGAAAAATCTCGTTTTGGCCAAATATTTGTCCCCGTGAATAATTCAACCCTGTGACGAAGAAAGATCGCATTTGTTCGCCGTGTAAACGCCTGCCCTATGCGTCGTAACCTTTGAAAACCCAAAATCGCTAGAATTTGACTGCTCGTTTACGCTGTTGTTTGCCCATTTTTCCAATTCGGGCTAAATACTGTCCCTAAGGTATTAATGGCTTCCTAAACACGAATATCGCATATATTTAGCGGGAAAACGCTTGAATTCCGCGCCGCGCAATTGCCGGCGCCCGTAACCGCACCAGATTTTCGCGCCACAGAAACACGCCCCCATACCGCAATTGTTGTACATCTTTCTCGCGGTGCGTAGTTAAGCACTGGCCATGTGCAGCCATTCCGGGCGTTTTCACGCTCCGCAAAATCTACGTCAATCTCACCAGGGAAAAATTGTTTGTTTGTTCAAGTTTGTTTATGCTACGGCTCGCTCTGTTTCTTTGATTTCTTCTCATTCCTAACATTCTATCATACTACATTCGTATATTTTTCTCTTTATTCTGTACATATTCTACAGAACATCACTTTTAGTATTTAAATATAGTACTGTAGTATAGTAATACTGATACTAATACTAATAGTAATACTAAGAATAGTATATAATAGTACTATATAGTATAGTATTATTATATGGTGTGTAATATACTACAAATACAAATATAAATAAATGCGATGAATGAATAAGATAATGCTAAAAAACATAAATAAAAACGATTGTTTGCAACGCCTCGACTGTTGGCAAAAAGCCAGCACAGTCGCACACATCGGGGAAAACACGTCCGATCCTGTCTTCTCTTCACTGTATGCACGTACGAGCTCCGTTAGGCAAGGGGTCTTGTAAAGGGCATTTCGGACGGTTTGTTGCTGATATTTTCTTCATTATCTGGCTACATAGTCCCATGTCGTACTTACCGAAGCTCCATTACCTTCCATCGGTGATCCCGGGCTTTGCCTTTAAATGCGAATTCAGGGCAGCTGGATTGACGTTTTTGCGGGTAGCGCCATACAAACGAAATATAAGCGCCCAAGTGATAACGCTGCGTAGGACAAGCCTTTAGCGAATATGGTGACTTGAGATCACTTGGCACCTCAGGGGAGTAAGCGGATGTGATCTTTGTATCCAGGGGATCAAGCTACCCCCATGACAAGTTTCAGGGCGAACCTACGTTCGGTAAAATCTCTCGGAAAAACTGAGCCCTTATTTTAACACGAGACATAGCAAAGGAAGAACGGTGCCACAGTTCCCCATAGAGTTGAGAGCCCTTGACGTACAAACCCTTTCCTTCGAATATCTTCTCTTCCAGTACGACCCCCCCCGTATCTCCTCTGAAATTCCTCCTCTATCCGACCCTCTTTCCCCACCACATAGTAATCGTGCCGAATTCCTTTACTCCACCGTTTGTCCAAAGTCTTTCTCGCAGCTCGCAAAAACTTCTCCAGGCCACAGATGAACCCCTCGCCACAGACCGAATACAACCCTATCCACAATGGGATTCCTCCAACGATGCTGTACTAAGAGGACATGCGCATTCCATTGAGACTGGGGAATGTCAGGCATAAGGCCCAATATTTGATGCTCAGTTTAAAATGGTGGCAGAGGCGCTAGGAAGGGAATAACGGAAAAATGAAGTGAAATGGTCAAAAACGAGCAAGAGCCCTTTGCCGGCGGTAGACGAGTTTACCGCTGACATAGGGGAAATTTGGACGAGTTTTCAGTAGGCATCATGCTACGGCTACAAGTGTGTACGCACGCAAACATGCAGCATAGCAGCTGCTCACAATTGTATTTTAGAAATGAAGCGATAAGTATCAGCAACGATGGGCTTGATAATGATGCTTGGGGGAGGTCTTTCTGGGGAGGGAGGGGTGAGGGTACTTCTCATCTAAAGGGCCTTGCGTAGTCCCATTTAGAGCGCCTTCCGTTGTGAACGATATCACAAATGCACTGCTCGGGCAGGTTACTTCCCCTTCTCTCAGGTACTTTGACCCCACATGTGTAGTCAGTTTATAGTGCCTTATACCGTAATTACGACCCCTCTTTCCATACCTTTCCTGTGGAATGACTCCCCCAGCACGGACCTGATGTAAGCGTGTCCAAAAAGCTGCCCACCTTCCCTGATGAACCATATAATTCGATTTACGACGGGTTCGTCACCCATGACATGACTTACCCGGAAAGGGGACATATGTGGCTTTAGGTTCGAGTTACCGCTGATTGATATCAAATTATCATTCATGATAAAAAACCGAAAAATTACGATAGTTATTCCACAAAAAAGAATCAACTCACGTTTTCTAACGTCATCGTGTCCAGACCATGGCTAAACATCTCCTTGAGTGCATTCACCGCTGCCGTGTTACCAGGTATACGGTAGATGCCTACCGTATCCAGACCATGCGCCTCGACGACACTTACGCAAATTTGCA